CTCCCCCGCAGAGCCGCTGTCCTATCCGCCCTCCAAGGTCCTCTTACCTCTTGCCAGACTCCCAATGTCCTTCTCCCCCAATTGAGTTCCAGTAACGTCAATGCTGACGACCTCATCACCTGCCCCAGGGAAAAGAAGGGCAGAGGGTCAAAGTCCAGGTAATTGATTCTGTCTCCCCTATCCCGTTGGAGGCAAAGCGGGCTGGAGAGGAGCCCCGAGCAGGGGCTTCCTTCCCACCCCCTAATCCAGCAAAGAAGCCCATAGCCCAGCTCGGAGGAGACGGTGAAGCCCTCCAGGACATACAAACCACTGAAATGGCATTAATCTCTCCCGGTTCGTTTAAGAAACGGGCTGATTCACCTGTCCTTGTTGATCATCTGATAATATAACTTCAAGTGACAACATGGGCCATCACTAAGGCCAGGAAGGAAACTTTCACTTCACCTTGCAGGACTTCAGGCACAAGGTCAGTTCTGCCGATTATCAAAAATCACTACCAGACCCAACAGTCTTTTTCATATTCATTTTCCCTGTCTTCTGCTAAAGCCAGCACCTCCCTTCCTTCCTTCCTTCCTTCCTTCCTTCCTTCCTTCCTTCCTTCCTTCCTTCCTTCCTTCCTTCCTTCCTTCCTTCCGTAACTATGCCTGTATCTTGATCTAAGCCACTTGGTTGCACTGTTGTTATTTCCAGCACTGACGGGATTGTAAAGTGTGTTTCGATAAGTTGGGAAGTTCTAGATGAACCCGACAGAACCAGACTCAAGTGTGGCACCTGCAGTGCCGTCTCTTCCCCCCTTATTTGTAGAACAGGGAAAGAGTGTGTCTTCCTTCTGAAACAGTCAAAATACCCTGTTTCCCTGAAAATAAGACCTAACCTGAAAATAAGACCTAGTATGATTTTTCAGGATGCTCGAAATATAAGCCCTACCCCCCAAAATAAGCCCCAATTAAGTGAAACACCGCACTCCACCCTTGTGCAGCAACCAGAAGATGACAGGACAAAATAAAACATCCCCTGAAAATAAGCCCTAATGCACTTTTTGGAGCAAAAATTAATATAAGATTCTGTCTTATTTTCGGGGAAAACACTGTATTTCTAGGACAGAACCTGCTGCAGATGTTTGATCAACCTAATCTCCTCTACCAAAAAATGGAATTTAATTACACTCAGAATTAAAAAGCTTTAAAAATTTAAATATGAACGGATCACACACATGTGTAAATATAGCTGTGACTGATGGTATGTGTACTGTCTGAAATGCAAAGGTTTGCAGTGAAGGACTCAGTCCACTTGCTCAGAGAAATGTAATTAAGTGCAACATAATCAAAACAAGAAAAATCAAATTATTAGGTTTCCTGTCTGAACCAGACCACAATTTATTGGCTTCTGGGTGGCCTGACCCCCTTGTGGGAGTGGACCCTTGGCATTCTCTGTCAGAAAAATAAC